CCATTAAGACACTTAAAAACCATTAAAAGAACCTTCAAATCGATCCTGAAACATACGGGGAACCAGTGCAGTGATTTCAAAACTGGAGTGATGTGCTCCCGCTTCCTGGTCTTCATCAGGACACGTGCTGCTGAGTTTTGTAAAAGTTGTAAAACTGAGATGCTCTTTTTGGGAAGACCAGAAAGCAGGGCATTGCAGTAATCAATTCTACTGGTTATAAAAGCATGCATCAGCGTCTCCGTATTGGCCCGAGAGAGAATAGGGCGGACTCTGGCGATATTCTTAAGATGGTAAAAACCTATTTTTGTGATGTTTTTAATGTGGGGAATAAAAGTCAGCTCAGAGTCGAAAATAACGCCCAGATTCTTCACTTGTAGTGATGGATAAAAAGACATTGATTGTAGTTTAGGTAAAAGTTTCTCTCTTTGGGTCTCAGGACCGGTGACTAAAACTTCAGTTTTGCCTTGGTTGAACTGGAGAAAGTTTTCAGTCTTCCATGATTTAATATCTAAAATGCAGTTAAAAAGTGTTTCCATTGGCTGTGCGTCATCAGTAGACACGGAGATGTACAACTGTGTATCGTCAGCGTAACTGTGGAAATTCACCCCATGTCTCCTGATGACGCTGCCCAGAGGGAGCATATAGTGGTTAAAAAACACTGGGCCTAGAATTGAACCCTGAGGCACACTGCATGTGATGCTGTGGAACCCAGAGGAACAGGTATCCAAACTCACCATAAAAGTCCTGTCTGTGAGGTAGGAAGTGAACCAACTGTGAACAGCACCAGAGAGCCTGATCTGTTTAAAATGGGTTAAAAGAATAGTGTGGTCTACTGTATGAAAGGCAGTGCTTAGATCCAGCAGAACCAACACTGTTGCCCTCCGAGCATCATAATTTGTTCTAAAATCATTTAAAATCTTCAGAAGGGCCGTCTCAGTGCTGTGGTTCACCCTAAAACCAGACTGAAATTTCTCTAGGACATGTTGGTGGTTGATGAAGTCATTAAGTTGTATTAAAACAAGCTTCTCTACCATTTTGCTTAAAAATGGTAAGTTGGATACCGGTTGAAAATTGTTAAAGTCATTAAAATCTAAATTGCTCTTCTTCAACAGGGGCCTGACCACCGCCCGTTTAAAAGCAGCAGGAAAGACCCCCGTCTGAAGGGAACAGTTCAATAAAGTTAAAATCTCATCTCTAAATGAGTCATAAAATTGTTTAAAAAACCTTGTGGGAATAGGGTCCAGAACATATGTGGTGGGCCTCACTGAGGAGAAAACTTTATCAATAATCTCAGCTTCAACCAAGACAAAACTGTCCAGTGTTTCCTCAGGCAGACACACACTCTCAGATTGATCGGGAGCAGCATGACATTGGGAGGATAAAATGTTACATCTGATGGTGTCTACCTTCCCTCTGAAGTGGGCTGCAAACTCCTCACAGAGAGCATCCGAGGGGGTTTTCTGGAGAGAATTAAATTCACGACCCAAAATATTTGTAATTGTAGAAAACAGAATTTTGGGATTATTTTTGTGTTCAGAGATGATTTTAGAAAAGTAATTATTTCTGGAATTTCTAACTGCTTTGTTGTATGATTTTAATAATTCTGTGTATATTTGTTCATTAATTGTGTTCTTATATTTCCTCCATTTTCTCTCTCCGCCGCCCTGCAAGATCTTTTCAACATTTCTAAAGCCGGGCGTACACTGTGCGACTTTTTCACTTTTTGGAGCCGATTTTCCAGTCGTGCGAGAAGCCACGACATCGGGGCGAGTTTTGCGCCGAGCGGTCGTGTAGTGTACAGGGGGTTACGAGAGGCGATTAACACCACGTGACCAGCCGCCGATCAGCAGTCGTGAGGTCGCAGGGACTTCTTGTGTGTTTAATATTTCGCTCGTCCCTCGTGAGGGTATCGCACTGTTGAAGCGGCGCTGCGAGCAGCTGCGAGCAGCTACGATCCAAAAAGTATCAGAACCGCTCACGGCGCATGCGCGCGCAACCCTGCATCAACGCCGGCCGGTCGCTCGCTATTTCCCTATTAACAGACGCTGTTCGTTTTTGTTTCTACACGTTTTTTTACTCACAAAGATTGTCAAGAAAGCGTGTTTGTCGTGTTCATGTCAAATTAAACTGATCACAAAACACAGATTCACTTTCTTTATTTCGTTTTCCTCATCCAACCCCCATAAATCCCTGTGTGTCCTCCTGCAGCACTCCCGAAGGACAACAGGCAAGACAAAAAAGTCTGACGTGTTGAGTAAAAACTGCTATTTTTAGCACATTTTTAGGGCCGACGTGTTGCTACCAGACGTACAGTGTGAGCAGTCAGGTCGCATGCGAGAACTGGGTCGTGCAGTGTGAGCACATGACTCGTGAGATCTGCTCTGCGAGGAAGTCGTACAGTTTGAGCTGAAGCTGAACGCTGCGAGTGAAAAAGTCGCACAGTGTACGCCCGGCTTAAGTTTTCATTGCTCCAAGGGGAAGCCGGTTTTGGCTGTAGCTTTTTAATTTTAGGTGGAGCGAGCAGATCCAAAGTAGATTTAAGTCTACTGTCAAAATCATTGAAGATACAATCACAGGGGGCATTTAAATTAATAGGAGGGATCTTTTTAAAAGTTTCCAGAAAACCAGCAGCCACTTCAGGGGTTAGATGGCGTTTCATTACAGTTCTCACAGAGGTCTCCTGCTGAATTATGCTGGTGATGTCAAAAAACACACAGAAATGATCTGAGATAATTAAATCCACGACAGAGGACACGCTGGTGGACAGACCATACATGATGACCAAGTCCAGGGTGTGTCCTCTGTCGTGGGTTGGTTGTGCAACATGTTGTGTAAAATCCATATAACTCAAAATGTTTAAAAATTCAGTGGTAAAAGGGTCTGCAGTGTCATCTATGTGTAAATTAAAATCACCAGCTAAAATAATACTATCAAAAGAGTTGTGCAGAATTGATAAAAACTCTGAAAATTCCTGTATAAAAAGTGCACTGTGCCTCGGAGGCCTATAAACAGTAACACATAAAATCTGAAGATCGTCATAATATAGAATAACATGCTTTAGGTAGATCTAAATCATTTAGAATTTTGGCCGGTAAAAAATATGCTTGGCCGGTAGATTTTCATCATCTACCAGCCAACTTGGCCGGTGAGTAAAAAATTTTATTTCAGACCCTGGATATAGGTCAGGAGTTGGAGAAGATATGCTTATCTCCACTTTTGTGAAGCGGAATACGAGCTATTTTCATTTTGGTAGGAAATATGCCTGTTGTAAATGATAAGTTACATATATAAGTAAAGGTATAATGTATTCTAGTTCTTCTTGTATTCTTGTGTCCACGTATTTATTTAATTTTTTTTATGTTTACTATTATTTAGTTTCTGTGACTTTGTTGTGGATTTTTACTATATTTATTTATTTTTCCAACATTTCTCTTCCGTCCATCAGTCATTGTTTATTGAAATTGTCCAGTTCCTTCAGCTCCTTTATTATCTTAGCCTGTGACCCTTCTTGTTCTTTGATCCATACATTCCCATTTCTTGTCCATGTAGCTAAAATTTTTCTGCTTTTTTAGCATCCGTGCTTCTCTGGCTATCGTCCCATTTTTTTGTTAGATCTTCGTTTATGTACACATTAGTGCCTCTTAGCTTGTTTTACTATCATATCACATCACTTGTAAGTCGCTTTGGACAAAAGCGTCTGCTAAATACATAAACATAAACATTCCTTGCTCTGGCCATTTGAAGATTTTCCGAGCTTATCTTACAAAATGTAATCCTCTCTACTTGTGCTGCCATCTTTAAATCATGTGAGCAGAGAATGCGCTTTGATTTAGAGCCCTGGGCGGAACTGTTTTCTTCATCCCGCTCCTGTCTGCTCACGCTGAATTTCTGCCCATTACCGCCCGCAACCGCAACATGTGTGTTAAACTCCTGCCCGCACCTTCAGTGTGCATGTCCAATCCCGCCCGCACCCGCAAAACTTGGAGAAATTATTCCCTCACAACAATAACAGATATGCATTGATTTTGCATCCCCTCTGATGCAGGTGAAAACACATCATTTTATAAGCTATTAAAACAGAAACTCCATAAATCTCTTGGTTTCGTTTCTCAGGCCTGCATGTATAATTTTCAACAGCAGAGCTGCGCGCACCGGGATTCTGGCTGCGGCGCATGTGATTGAAATTGAAGCTCCTCACTGGTTAATAATTCTTTAATAAAAACATAAAGTACCTACTCTGTGTGGTTGTTAAAGGGTAATTTCAACATCAGTTGTGGACTCTATGATCATCCAGATTGTTACACATCAGCCGGTGAGGCGGGTCTGGTCTGTCACTGTCTGTGGTGCAGAACTGGAGGACAGTGGTAGGGAGGTGGCACTCGTGCTGAAGTCCAGGCTAACAACCATAACACCGATCCCGCAGTGTTTCTTTTTGCCGCCCATTCCCACCCGCAGCAAGATTCACACCGCCCGCTCCCGCAACATTTGTGTTGGGTCCTGCAGGACCCAATCCCAATGCAGCCCTCTACTTTGATTGGCCACTTTAATTTGTTGCGTGACCATGTGCGCTCTACTTGAGCTGTCTGGCCTCAGCAGACAGGGAGGTTTTCCCCTCCAAATGTGGAGAATATCAAAGCCAGTTTGATTTTAACCTCAGCCCCTCATGAAGCAAGAACTCACAGAAAATTAGGCGCACACAGTGAGGTTACTGCTGGTAAAACAGCCTAAAATCACTTTTAGCTCAGCTAATTGCACCCATGCATGTGACAACCTTAAGCAGAAAGAAGGAACTAAAAAACAAAAACGGTACACCCCAATTGTAATGGCGGGGGTCACTCCCACATAAGCTTGTGCTTCTCTAATTCAAGTAATGTTGCAAGTTTAACTGTTATAATCTAGTGAATCTGTGTGGATATATTACCATCAGCTGTTGTTCAGTAGTGTAATCTGTTTCTATTTGAGCACTTACCAGACATTATTTTATTAAGCTGTTCAGATCTTCATTGAGATATACTGCAAGTTCTTTGAGCGTGCACATTCTTCTTATTGAGATTGTGCTGTCCTGTTAAACATAAAAGCAAATCTGATTTAGAAAATCTTTTAAGACATTGTCAGCTAATCCTGCACAACTTCAGCAAAGGAAGAAATTATATTTTATTTATTTTTATATATAAAATGCCTCTATAGATAAAATTCACGAGGCACTACACAAGAACAACAAAAACGACAACAAAAAAATTGATTAGGAAAGGAACATTCTGATTCAAAAAATGTGAAGGAAAAAAAAGGTAACCACAGGATCCCAAAAAAAAAACAGAATTGGTAGAAACAGTAGCATGAAGAAGCCAGCGAGGAAGAGTAGGATGAACAGGAGATTCCACCAAAGCCAGCCTGAACAGACTTTTTATTTTTTTAAGGAGACCACTAAGTCCACTGATCCCAGGTTCAGGGGAGAGAGTTCCAGAGTCTTGGGGCCTATAAGTTGCACAACCAAACTTTGATCACTGGCCCTTGGGGACCTGCTAGGGGTGTAGGAACTGAGAAGATCTCTAATGTGTGATGTGCTTTTCCATGTAAGGCCCTAAAGACCATAACCAGGATCTTGATATTTACCCAGAAGTTAACCGACAGCCAGTGAAGCTGAAAGAGAAGTGGGGTGATGTGGATGCATTTGGAGGACTTGGTCAGAACAGCCAAGAACAGGATGTTTTGCTTGGACAAAAGAAAATACAGTTGTAGTAGCCAGGGTGTCTCATACCCCTGGCCCTCAGGGCCTACTGTTCTGCATGTTTTCCCACATCTCTGCTTCAGCACACATGACTTACATATTTGCATTTCCTCAGTAGGACATCAAGTGATCCAGATGCCTGTTTATCACTAATTCATTGAAGTCAGGTGTCTGGCAGCAGGGAAACACTGGTGTTTGATAGGGCAATGTGTAAAACATGCGGGACAGTGGTCCCTGAGTACCAGGGTTGGAAAACACTGGTCTAAGCATGAGGAGATGAAGGTGTGGATAACAATCTCATGTTCAGAGAGTGACAGAATGGGACTCAGCTTACTAATGTTCCTGAGATGGAAGAAGGAAGAGCAAACAAGGTACAAGGCATACACTGGGGCTTCCTGAATTGGAGCACAGTATTTCAAGCTGGGATCAAACTGTGCGTTTTTTGGCCATCTAAGACAAATCCCTCCTCTTGAACAGAATTGTGGGGAAAAAAAAGAACGGTAAGCGTGAGGCTGATTTGCAATCTGTTAACGTCCAGTGTGACCATCTGTATGACAGCTTTTTGAGCCTTCTCACGACCAAAGACAGCCTCCGACAATCTACAAGCACTGCTTGAAAACCTATGAGTTCTGTCTGCTATTAACCAACGAAAATACACTTTTGGGACACTGAGCCAGCAAGACTCCGGAAGACGCTGTGGGGGGGGGGGGGGGGGGGGGGGGGGGGGGGGAGGATGGGGGGCTATAGCTACCCCTGGATTAGTCATTGCACCACCATAGCACCCCCCAAAAAACTGAAGTTTTTTTTTTTTTTACAATTTAATTGTAATTTAAAGTGTGGATGTGATCATATTTAACATACAAAACAAAAATAGTGACCTTCTTTTGTCATCATAAATGTTCCCAACTGTGCTGAAAACTCTTTCGCTTGGGACTGAAGAAGGTAGACAGCAGAGATACTTCTGAGCAAATTTTGCCAGTCTCTTGAAACGGCTGCTGTTATTTCGCCACCATTCTCATGGGCAGCTTTTTTTCTGTCAATGACTGGCTCCCTCATGTACCTTTCCAGTTCCTCAAGAACATCATCTGATTGTTCTTCCTCACTTGTAGACGCTGCGAGCATGTTATCAAATAGGCAGTCAACAATACTTTCTGTGCCTACTCGCCTTCTTTTTGGGTCTTCCTCCTCTTCTGTTATAATGGCCAGTTTTGTTTCTTCAGATGTTTGACTCTGCATTTCTTCTTGTAGCCAACTTTTAGCCTGACTGAGTATCTCTTGATCGAGGGGTCGGTGCTTGTATCTGGGATCCAAGAGGCAAGCAAGACCCTCTTTCCTGTTCACTCTCTCTTTCTTAACATTTTTTTCTATCACAATATTTGCTCATTTTAAATATGTTTTTAAATATTTTCTAAATGCTTTTTAATATTTTTACATTTTTTGTTTTTGTGAAGTGCCTCGTGATTTTTATCTTGAGAGGCGCTATAGAAATGACATTTTCTTCTTCTTCTTTGGTCTGATTTAAGTTGATAAATCTGTCTTCCAGACTCTGGAGCCAAGGGTGTCAGTTTGTTTTCAGAATTGCTGGGGACAATAACCATACACTTGAGTGGGGTTTAAAAATTGCTGGGGACAATAAAGTAGGCTAGCACAGGGGTCGGCAATCCGCCGCTCTGGAGCCGCTTGCGGCTCTTCCATCCATCTGATGCGGCTCTCTGTGCTTATAAAATAATGAATGGATATTTAAATAAAATGCTTTATATTTTACTGCATTAATTTTACATCTGTATGCCAATTCTAAATGTAAAGATTATCTGCGTAAACCTGAACAGGTCCAACCCGGTCTGCGGTGGTTGACCGGTCACGCTTGTGCGTAATCATATCGGCACTTTCTGAGCTGAAGAGGATGTGAGATTCTGGGATTCTCCTCAGACGGCTCCTGGATGTGTCGCCACATTGGAGACAGGAACAAGCACTATTCAGCCAAAGTTTCATAATCAGGGAACATTTTCTAAGTGACAAGTCTCTCTGAGAGACAGGGTTTGGAAAACACTCGCTTCAGTGGGAGGAATCTTCCCGCATGCGCACTGCATGGTTCTCTGCGTGGCTTAGGGCTGGGCAATATGGCAAAAATAGAATATCACGATTTTTCCAATATTTTATCACGATTTCGATTTTATCACGATTTTTTATCCATGAATAGCATAACTTCAATTGCGTATTAAAGAAGAGAAACATTGAATAAATAAACATTTATTCATATTAGGGATAATCAGCACAGTGCTAACACACTTATATTTTAAACTCACACCAGAGATGATAAAAGCCCTGAGAGAAACAATTACAAAAATCAGTTTTTCTCGTTTTTCAAGTTACTTAACATAAATTAAAATCGTAAACATATTTAAAGTGCAAACATGTCAATTGCAAACGTATTGTGCAAACATTAACCTGTTCAAAATACTATGTAGCTCCCAGTTGCTCATGTAGTGGATAGTTAAGCTCAAATACGGCTCTGATGTGCGGCTGGACCAGAGATCGCTTGTGGTAGCAAATAACTGCGCATTCTGAATATTTTCTGCAACAAGTCTCTAAATAAAGTAAAAATTTCCAGTGCAGATTGGAGACAACCCATAGAAGCACTGATATGATCTCATTTCAGAGATAAATAGAAAAAATAGAACAGGTTAGATGCATCTAATAAATAAAATTACTAACAAACTCAGGAATCTTTCTTTGCTTCACTGTTCTGGTGCTGAGAATATCACTAATGTGGATCAAAGGAGATGCACAGATGAATGCGCCTCTTATTATTTGAAAACTACATTTACTGCAGCTGGCAGAGGCAGAGATTGTTTCTATTGATACACGAATTTACAGAATCATTTTAAACTGTAATAGGGGAAGACTGCAGGAGGGAGCGGTAAAATACAGGGGGTCCCAGCAAAAACAAGAAACTACGGGTCTGATGAAACCCGCTGGTTTTTCATCAGGCAGTCACGATGCAGCTCCAGCGACCCAGTGACCGAGCTCAGTCCGGTACCGACACCGGCTCGGCAGAGGGTGAACGAGCCGAGGCGATGTTGTGCTCTGCTTAAGAAGCGGTGTTATTTTCCTGCTTCAGAAGAAGCGTCCAACGTGTTTTTACGCTTTCTCCGAGACATGTCACGTCGCTAAGTTGTTAGCGCCGCACACTAAGGAAACCCTGCGTTCCTCTTCGGAACGAAAACCTCATATCGCTCTCAGCTGCGGCCGAAGCCATGTTTGTTCACACACAAGTGAAAACAAGCGGGGCACTAATGTATTACTATGAATCACTCTGATTGGTTAAGGGTCAAACAAAGGCGTGTCATTCGCCTGGGGTAAGTTCCCTTTTCATTCAGAGGCAGAAATTCAACAGCAGAGCTGTGAATCGTGATAAAACGGTCTCTCAAAAATGACAGACCGTCAGATGTGTAGATCGTAAAACGGTCTAAAATCGTCATATCGCCCAGCCCTAGCGTGGCTCTGGGGTTAATCAAGTTTAATTGTTTCTCTTTTCAACAATCTTCACAGGAAGGCAAAACAGTTAAACGGCAGGTTACATATTCCATTTGACTGTTTATTTTGACAGATGAACTCAAGGATGTTGCTTGGTTTGAAAGAATTACCCCGACGCACACGGATGCGCATGGATGAGCTGACATTTTAATCATTAACGCACATCGCGGAGGTAAAATATTCCCATCAGAACATCAGAGCTTTATACTGGACACTGTGTTCAGCGCGGCTCAGAGCGCCCACGGTGGACAGTGAGCTGAAGATCTGGGGTTCCAGTGCAGAACCACGCGCATGCGATAAGATTTCCTCCCACTGAAACAGTCTGGAAACCCGGTCTCTCTGAGGGATGTGTCACTTGGAAAAATGTTCTTTTTATGAAATTATGAAACTTTGGCTGAACAGCGCTTGTTCCCGTCTCTAATATGGAGACGCATGACGCATAGAGACATTTGATCACGCACAAAGTTTATGTGGAGCAGAAGCGGTCGAGCCACGGCAGGTGAAATGTTCCTAGCCTACATGAAGGGAAACTGTTTAATTGTAACATTAATGTGTTACTGGACACGCTGGTCTGGTTGGTTAGACCAGTGTTTGAAGTGGAAAACACACACACACACACATACACGCACGCATGCACGCACACACACACACACACACACACACACACACACACACACACACACACACACCAATTAAAATAATGCTGATAGCGTGGATAGAAGACAGGTGATGGTTTACGTATTTAAATGATGATCAGGCTGCTGTAAAATGTAATCTCCATCCACATCCAGACAGAATCATCCTCTATTCTTTCTCTATTTGCTCTGCTCTTGTCTGGGCTGATCAGCTGATGGTGCGCGCGGCGCGCCTAACTAGCGGCTGATGCACATTTTACGCATTTGGAGAGGTGGACTGGATGCTTTGCGTTTACTGGAAGATGGTCCACTTAATGCACGGGGGTAGACTACATATTAATGACAAATGAATGAAAATTAAATTGTGAGTTTTTACTTCATATTTTATACATAAAAAGGACGGGGAACACATTTATGACGTCTTTTTAAACTAAATTTTCTAGCGCGACCTGCCTGCTTCACTTAAGTCACTGCTTATTAAGGTCCGTCCAAAATTACCGTGGGAAACGGGTAATAATGGCTCTTTGATGGGAATAGGTTGCCGACCCCTGGTATAAGATCTGAGCTGGTAAAACAAAAATCCTCATCAGCAGGCGTTTTTGAAAGTGGGGGGGACACAGCTGCCAATCACAAATTTTGCCGGGGACATGTCCCCGGCGTCCCCGGTTAACATGACGCCTATGTCTGGAGCATAGCTTTTCTTGCTGTCTGGATGCCAGCTGTACAGGTGCTGGCCAGTAAATTAGAATATCATCAAAAGGTTGAAAATATTTCAGTAATTCCATTCAAAATGTGAAACTTGTACATTATATTCATGCAATGCACACAGACCAATGTATTTCCGATGTTTATTACGTTTAATTTTGATATTTATAGGTGACAACCAATGAAAACATCAAATCTGGTATCTCAGAAAATTAGAATATTCTAAAGGCCAATGAAAAAATGTTTGTTCCTCTAATGTTGGCCAACTGAAAAGAATGAACATGAAAAGAATGTGCATGTATAGCACTCAATACTTAGTCGGGGCTCCTTTTGCCTCAATAACTGCAGTAATGCGGCGTGGCATGGACTCGATCAGTCTGTGGCACTGCTCAGGTGTTATGAGAGCCCAGGTTGCTCTGATAGTCGTCTTCAGCTCCTCTGCATTGTTGGGTCTAGCGTATTGCATCCTCCGCTTCACAATACCCCATAGATTTTCTATGGGGTTAAGGTCAGGCGAGTTTGCTGGCCAATCAAGGACAGGGATACCATGGTCCTTGAACCAGGTGCTGGTGGTTTTGGCACTGTGTGCAGGTGCCAAGTCCTGTTGAAAGGTGAAGTTTGCATCCCCATAAAGTTGGTCAGCAGCAGGAAGCATGAAGTGCTCTAAAACTTCCTGGTAGACGGCTGCATTGACCCTGGACCTCAGGAAACAGAGTGGGCCAACACCGGCAGATGACATGGCACCCCACACCATCACTGACGGTGGAAACTTTACACTGGACCTCATGCAACGTGGATTCTGTGCTTCTCCGCTCTTCCTCCAGACTCTGGGTCCTTGATTTCCAAAGGAAATGCAGAACTTGCTTTCATCAGAAAACATAACTTTGGACCACTCAGCATCAGTCCAGTCCTTTTTGTCCTTGGCCCAGGCGAGACGCTTCTTGCGCTGTTTCTTGTTCAAGAGTGGCTTGACACACGGAATGCGACACCTGAATCCCATGTCTTTCATGAGTCTCCTCGTGGTGGTTCTTGAAGCGCTGACTCCAGCTGCAGTCCACTCTTTGTGGATCTCCCCCACATTTTTGAATGGGTTTGTCGTCACAATTCTCTGCAGGGTGCGGTTATCCCTAGAGCTTGTACACTTTTTTCTACCACATTTTTCCCGTCCCTTCGCCTGTCTGTTAATGTGCTTGGACACAGAGCTCTGCGAACAGCCAGCTTCTTTAGCAATCACCTTTTGTGTCTTGCCCTCCTTGTGCAAGGTGTCAATGATTGTCTTTAGGACAGCTGTTAAGTCAGAAGTCTTCCCCATGATTGTGGTGCCTTCAAAACAAGACTGAGGGACCTTTTAAAGGCCTTTGCAGGTGTTTTGAGTAAATCAGCTGATTAGAGTGGCAGCAGGTGTCTTCTATATTCAGCCTTTTCAGAATATTCTAATTTTTTGAGATACCAAATTTGGAGTTTTCATTAGTTGTCACTTATGAATATCAAATTTAAATGTAATGAACATTGGAAATACATTGGTCTGTGTGCATTGCATGAATATAATGTACAAGTTTCACGTTTTGAATGGAATTACTGAAATATTTTCAACCTTTTGATGATATTCTAATTTACTGGCCAGCACCTGTATGTGGTCCATCTGCTTGCAAAACACTGCTGTGCGACTGTTGAATGATTGAAATGAGTGGCAATTCTTTTAAATTTTGCCAGCATGTCCCCTACAGCTCGCTGTGCACTTAAGCCGTCATTTATGACCAGTTGCAGTGTGTGAGCAGTACAGCTCAGTCCAGGCAATTCAGCAAGCCTCATGCCTTTGACCATGTTGGCTCCGCTATCCCTCAGTACCAGGTGCACCCTCTCATGGTCAATGTCCCACTCTTTTAATAAGTTAAGGAAAGTTTCCCTTATATATTCTCCTGTGTGAGAACCAAACATTGTCTTCACGTTCAGCACTAGCTGGATTCTCTGCCAGCTTTTGTCAATAAAGTGAGCTGTTAAACTTACGAGGGCTTCACCAGCTCCAGACCAGCAGTCTGTAGTGAAGGCAAGGGGTCCAGAATTGTCAGCATGAAGAAGCTGTTTAACCTTGTTCACAACCTTTTGGTATGTTTCTCCCATCAACTTTGTGCGGAAATATTTTTCATTTTTCAGTGAATATCTTTGTTCCAGTTTTGCAACCAGTCGTTTAAATCCCACTCCCTCCACAACAGCATAGGGCAGGATATCTGTAGCAATCATTTCCATTAAGAGCTTATCTATCTCTGACCTTTTGGTCATTTGGGCCCCATTTTGCTGTTCATTCAACAACTTGTGGAAGTGTCATTTGAGTTCCTGTCCCTTTCTTTGCCTGAAATTGTGCAACTTCGTAGTCATCTTTGTGCTTACTTTTAAGATGGTGCCACAAGTTAGTTGTGTTTTTTGACTTGCTTTTGTCTGACCCCTGGCCTACTGAAGATGAGCAGATGCTGCAGATGAAATCACCGGATGGATCTTTAGTGAAGTAGTCCCACACCTTACTATGACCCTCTTTTTCCATCTGTAACAAAATAATCAGCATAAAAGTACAGTTATACATCTGTTGATACCAAGATGAAGTAAAATACATTAAATGTGGCATTTTTATACTTAAAGTTTAAAAATTATCATGTAAATGAATGATATCAGACATTGTGGCTCAAAACCAATGGCTCTGTTTTTGTTTGGTTCCCCAGCTGTTAAGGTTTTCTCATTTAGTATGCAAGTCTTTTTTATTTTTTTCCCTTCCACTGAATTTTCTACTTTTGTTGTCAGGTTTTTTTCTAGTTATTCTTTTTCCCCTTGAGGTTTCTTTCTTCCTTTAAATTATTTTCATTTATAGTTCCTCCCATGTTCCCCTGCTTTACTCTGCTCCCACTGACAGCTCCTCCTCATAACTAGTCCTCGGTCATCTCTCACTCCTCAGTGTATACTAGGGCTGCACGATATTAGGAAAACCTGCGATATTCGATAACAATGATTAATATTGCGATATCGATATTACTCACGATAAATGAACAAATACTAAAGTGTGCAGTGTTAATGTCGTCTGGTGTGTGACGTCTGCTCTGGGTTCAAAGCAAACAAAAACTAATGCATGAATTCCATTACAACATAACATTTTTATTGAAAAAATATGCAGCTGCACCTGCTACTGTATTAGCAGCAAAACAACAAACTGCATGCATGCAGTTTCTCAGTGACTTGCTCTTCTAAGACAACCGGCTAGCAGAGCTTCTGACTGACAGTTTATGTGCAGCAGCAAATCAACTATCCTGATTAACAAGGTTATAAAAGCTCATGAATGAAAAATCACTTTGATGTGTGGGGGAACTTTTCCAGGCCCTCTTTAGCAGGGTGGGACTGGGAGGAGAGTGCTGTAGCCTTTTAGCTGGAAGCTAACCGGAGCCTCGGGCTAACATCACCACCCTGTGGAACACTAGGGACATGAAGGTGGGTTGGTTCGCCGGCACGTGTCGGAGTCAGCCCGGTTATTATCAGCTGCTTAACGACACCGAGCGGACTCACGTTCACGTTTGAAAGCAGCGCTGATTCCAGATACCTCAGTACAAAGTGCGTTTGTTGCTCTGAGCCAGCATGACGAACAAGGGAACGGCGCCACTAATGTTCGGGTGTTGATTTCCATCCTAAGGGTCTACGTAGGGGGTGGGTGTATTACGTGAACGGACCCATCTGATTGGCCGCATATCAGAAGGGCTACATTTGATTGGTCAAATAATACTTCCGTGTAAAAAACAGAGCTGGTTTACAAAAAGTTGAGGTATGACACGGATGGAAATGTTTGAAACAAACATGTATCGCCGTTTTTGACGTGCTTTGTGATGGGCCTATCGCACGTCCTGTTATCCCGATGATGATAATTTTTCGATATGTTGTGCAGCCCTAGTGTATACGGTTCAGTTTCAGTCATACTCTGCTGGTTTCAGTGTCCTAGCTACCTGTTTTTATTTCTGTCACCTGATTTTTGGCATTAAAATACTTTTGAGTTTTACACTTGTGTTTTGGACCATTTCCAAAGCCGACAGTATTAGGAAAATAAAAACTAAGATACGATAAATGACTAGTATGTGGCAATATATAAGCCTTATATAAAATATAAGGCTGAAAAAATACAATAGATTTATTCTATTGTAGAGAGGAATGTTTATTTTCTCGTCGTATTACTGCCCCTACTCCTCTCCCAGCTAGGGAGATGATGAGTTAGGGTTAGGGTTAGAAACAATAATGAAATTATGAAAATAATAATGCATGTTTGGAGGAGCATCCTCTGATCCTTTCTCTTGTGTGAGCAGACAATCTCCCGCTCTCTGTCTCAGTCACTGATCGAGCGAGCGGAGCGCGCCGCGCGACAACCCGCTCAATTAACATAATTTACGGCCCAAATCCAACAGAACCGGTTGGGCTGATTCGATTCGGGTTTGGTCTCAGGTTATAACTCCAGCGGTCAGCCCTGCAGTACCACATGAAGGCAGATCAAAGTTTCCTACCCGGTAAATGTGGAAAACACCGCTCTGACTGATTTGGATGCTGCGCTGGTGCTGCCGTTAAATCAACAGAACTACATTCCACTATAATTGTTTATGGTACTCTTCTATGATGCAAAACCATTTATGCCCACATCTCATGCATTGATTATTTGATTATTTTCCTCAGCTCTATCCTAAACCTTCCGGTCGGCCGTCAGAGGTGGGGGGTGGGGGGTGCGCGCCAGGTTTAGGGGCCACAAAGAGAGGGCTCGCGGGCCGGACGTTTCCCGCGGGCCGCCATTTGCGGACCACTGATCTACAGGGACTGCTGGGCTGGCTCAGACGATGGCTGTTACATCTCGAAGACGTATTCAGAAATATGAAATGAGGAGATGGTTTATGGATCCACTGGTATAACAATTGTGACTCTTCAGCAAATAAAACCACAGTGTTGTTTTTAATAGAGGTGTAGTGATCTGTAGTTTGTATATGTATACACTGTAATTAGATCTAAATATTATAATCAGAAGTGGTTGTTTTTATCATCAGGGAGTTTACTTAAACACTTTGTATTGACTGAGAGACAAGAAAAGAGAGAGTTGGGATCGTTTAAGAATCTTTAATTTCTATAATTAAGAATTCAACAATCTACCAGGACTATCTCAATGATGGGTGCATATGGATTTGAATGTTATAGTGTTGGTGTGTGTGTGTGTGTTTCAGAATCTCTAGGCTGACGTAGCGAATCTGGTTGTTATGACTAGGCTAACACGAGGCTTCAGAAGCTGATGACATGAGCCGCCATTTTGCCGCAACTACGTACCATGTGGAGCCTCCCGTGTAGATCAGGAAATGCCAGGTCCTCGGACCTTCAGATGTGCTGGAGCTGGTGAAACAGCGGTCGCAGCACTACAAAGCCCGTCTGTGGGTCGACTCCCGGTATCAGCGGCAGGCGTCAGCGAGTTAGCTCTTATTTTGAAGGGACGTCGTCTTGTTGTTCAAACGACGGAAATCTCCAGCTTGACAGTTCTCAGCTTAAAGTAGAAAGTACATCTGGCCAGGCTGTACCTCTCTTTTGCGGTGATGGATCGAGAGCTGGTTGAAAACTACGTTGAGAGTATGATGTAACTCCTTTGGAGCTCAGATCGAACAGAGCTGAGGTTAAAATGGAACTGAGTATAAAATGGCGTTGCCTTGATTTATATCCCCTAGTTGTTTACAAATCTTAGTAAACCGGATTGGACAACTTCATTAAACAACCCAGATTCTCTCTATAAATTACTTGCCTGTTAACAGTAGTGGTGGTCTGCTGGGACCTCCTCCAGGACAGAGCATCGCTGACCTAGGCTCATCCTCCAGTGTGTTTGTCCAGGGCCACAACTTCACCAGCACAGATGCAGATGTGCAGAATAGTACAGAGTTTTTTTAATTGAAAAATGTAAAACAAAACAAATAACCTGCAGTACACTGGTTCTGTTCAGTTTAAAGAAAAGCAGCAGGGAAAACTACAGAGAATTTACATTTTTAAGACAGATCTAATCATTATTAGGCTTAAGTTGAATAAGCAAATGCACATTGAAAACACTTCAATGCTATTTTATTAAATAAGCTGTTTTAAAAAAAATTTACCCCCATGTGATGCTAAATAAGAAGTTCTAAGGTCCAATTAACATCAGAAAACATCCTACTGCATTCAACATTTATAATGCATTTGGTTTATATTAATTACCTACACAATAATACTCTGTAGTAATGTGTTGTGTACATTTAACCAGTTCATTCTGTAGCTTAAAACATACATGAAACCATCTAAAGTTAACATGTAAGTCCTGAAAGCTTCTAGAATAAACAAAGTTACTTTACCTGAAAACGGCTGTGAACAAACGCTGCTGATGGAGGTGAAGCTGCTGTAGCTCCTAAATATTCCTGCTCGATTTTCACTAGCTTTAGCATTTTTCCTTTGCGTATAGCTGCTGCCACGGCTGTGACGGGACCTACGTCGGACGGGACCTGTCCGAATTCAGAGCCGCTGGGTTCCGGTTTTAGTGGTCGAGCAAGGACCCGGCCTTGCTAGACCGGCGAGGACTCATCCTCACAAGCAGAACACAGTTCTTCACTGTCTGGAGGAGAGGATTTGGATTTTCTATAATGATTTATGACAAAATTCCTTAACCAAATGAAAAACTGAACCCATTTCATATTTATATAGATGGTAAAGTGTAGTTTTACTTCATTTCTACTATTTTAATGCCAAATCTGGCTAATACCTTTAAATAAATAAATACACCTAAAAATAGTATATGGGTGATGGTGGCAGAGGAGTTTTAAGTGCCCACCCTGTAACAAGGAGGATATCAGGCTCATTTCCCACTAAGTCTGCCGTAGTTGTAAGTAAAAAGTAAATGTAAAGTACAATAAGAAGTTCAATGATAGTTTTAGTTGTACATTAACATAAACAGGGTTTAAAGTGCAGTGAAAAAAAAGATAAAATGAGATAAAAATGCTAAAAGTTGTGAAGCAAAACGTTAATTTAATACTTTTCTACACTTTGGGTTTTAGTTCTAAGTCTTGGTAAAATCAGAAGATGTTTTCCTGAGGAATGGAATGCCTTTTTGCCATCTGTTTTCAGATGCACTAACCACACATCACCACTAGAGGATGCCAAATTAGTGTTGCGCATCACACAACTTAAACCCAACAAACCCAGGTCCACGAGCACTTCCGGCAACAAATCCATCCATCCATCCATCCATCCATTTTCATCCGCTTATCCAGAGTCGGGTCACGGGGGCAGTAGCCTAAGTTGAGAGGCCCAGACTTCCCTCTCCCCAGCCACTTGGGCCAGCTCCTCTGGGGAAATCCCAAGGCGTTCCTTGACCAGGTGAGAGACATAGTCCCTCCACCGTGTCCTGGGTCTACCTTTAGGCCTCTTCCTGGTTGGACGTGCCCGGAAAACCTCATCAGGGAGGCATCCAGGAGGCATCCTGACCAGATGACCGAGCACCCTCAACTGGCTCCTCTCGATGTGGAGGAGCAGTGAATGTACTCTGAGCCCCTCCCGGATGACTGAGCTTCTCACCCTATAGCCCAGCCACTCTGCGGCAAAAACTCATTTCGGCCGCAATCTCATTCTTCTGGTCACAACCCAAAGCTCATGACCATAGATGAATGTAGATCGACTGGTAAATTGAGAGCTTCGCCCTCTGACTCAGCTCTCTCTTCACCAAGACAGACTGGTGCA